ACCTTCCTGTGGAGCGTCTATGTAACCGCCAGTCACTGTTCTCGAAAAGCGGGGTCGACAATTTTGAACCATTTTCTGTAACCATTCGTCGATCTTCCGAGAAATGCTATGAATTTCTATTTACTTGCTCAACGACTAGCGAAATTCACTTTGAGTTGATTCTATCCATGGCCACAATTTCATGTGTGATGGCTATCAAGCGCTTGATCTCTAGGCGAGGATGACCCTTGATAATTTGATCGAGCAATGGAACGAACTTTATAGGAGCCGAAAAAAAGCTTCTTCTGTGCATCAAAGACTGGAACGCTCGTACACAAAGGCATTAAGTGGAAGCATAATCCACCTAGCAAACCACATCAAGGTGAAGCATGGGAGCGAAGGGTTCGCAGTTGTAAGCGCGTGTTTTATGCAATCTTAGGGTCAAGAAAATTGACTGACAAGATTTTGAACACAATTATGTGCCTAGTTGAAGGTTCACTTGACGCCCGTCCGCTCACCCCTGTTTATGACGACCCTGATAGTCTTGAGGCTCTGACGCCGAATTTTTTGTTTAGGTCAGCACCGACTAACGTTTCCCTCTCTGAGGTCAAGCGGAAACTATTCTCACATTAAACGCTACGCCCGTGCGCAGTCTTACGCAAACGCAATGTGGCAGCCGTGGTTAAGTGAGACTGTCCCGACACTCAATAGGAGAGTTAGTGGCATGCTCCTCCTGGAGATTCTTTGATAATGGGAGATTAAGTGTGGTTAGTCGAATCGACTAGCCCTAGGGGCAACTACCCACTAGCAGCCATAATGTCGCTAAACTACGGCAAAGACAACACTGCCCAAAGACAACACGGCCAACTACAGCCGGCCGCTCGTTAAGCTCGTTCCGGTTCTCGCTCCTCCTACATCAAGTTGAAAGTATGAAAGCTTGTATAGTAAAAATTCACTACAGTTGCTTGGCAATACCAGCTATATGGCCCAGCGTATACATAGTGCGTTCCGAGGAGTTCGGCGTGGGTTCGTTTCTTGCCTAAGTCGTTTCATTTGAGAATCTCAGTTCAGGCGAACCTTATGGAACATAAAAAGCTAATATTTCATTCGGTTCAATTTTTTGCATTTGAGTTTCTGTTATTTCAGCTGCGTGAACTCAATTTTAATTCATTGTGAAAAAAAACCACAAAAATCACCAAATCAGCGCATGAACAACCTCATTGTTTTTGACTTGGTACGTTTAATGTTGATGATAATTCCATGCAAAATAATTTACTAAAATTTGCCGCTTACTGATTCTCTTGAATTAAGCTGATTTTGTTTCCTGTTTTTATTCGAGTTATGAAAAAGGCCAGAAGAAATGCTGATTAGACTATTCGATCAAAAAAAAAAGATCACATGGAATTCGGTTTGCAATCAAAACTAATTTTGTTGAAAATGTGTAAATATTTAGTTATTTCAATTTTAAAGTCATGAGGCTACAATTTTTTTCAATTATGCGTGAACCAGATTGATAATTCCATTCAATATTTTCATCTGAATTTAACCGTTGAAAATTCAATTGATGATTAAAAATCGTAAACTGAAATTACTGATTCTCTCTTTTTATTTGAAATACGAATCAAATTCATCAAAGGAAAATGATCGACTTCTAGTTTCAGATTTGAATTTTATTTCAATTTTCCAAGCGGACAATGAAAACTTGCCTATTGATCCAGTTGTCTCAATTTGGGTTAATTTCATCCAAAAAAGTTCCAAACCCAAATTATTTTTTAAATTCAGAAAGCTTAAGGCCATGAATTGTTCTAAAAGGCCATTCAGTTTCAAACGTAGAAGTTCTTTTGAATAACAAGTCACTAACTTTAATATGTTTTGTTGCGTGCATTTTCTTTTTTCCAACTGTCTGTTGGCAATGTTAATAACTTGTTTGACATTTTTTGTAGATCATAATTTTCTCAAAACTTGCTGGGTTTTTTTAAAAAGTCACTTAAAAACTTGCTCGGTAATTTTTGTGGCATTTTTTTTCGACTTTCCGAAAAATTAAAATTAACCTGAATTTGGTGTTTTTTCCAGACAATTTTAAACATGATAATTTTGGCGGAATTTTTTTTAGCAACTAAGAAGTGTTGAGTTATTTAGCTGAATTTTACAAAATTATTCACCTGTGGTTTTTTTCTGAATTTTTGAGGGTTTTTAAATAGCCAATTTGGCTTATTTGGGACGATTAACGCACGATATATTTCGCTCTATAGAGCGTTAGCGACATAATGATCCGGCTCAAAAAAATTTTCCAAATTGATTTAAGACGGTTAATTTTTCTATTTTTTTTACTATTAACTATCAGCAAAATCTATCACTTAAGATTTTAAATGATGGCGTGTGGGGGTATGATTTTCAAAAAATCTCAAACAAAAACTGAAATTCATTTTTTCCTGAATATCTTCAAAATTATTTGAATAAAAACTAATTCCCCTTGACCTTATAGTGCAGAAGCAACTTTCAGCGTTCCGTTCTGATACGAGCAGTCTCGTTAGTATAGTTTTTGTTTAGGCAATAGAAGCCACAAATTGCTTAACAGATTTTGGGTCTGAATTACGATCAATAAGTTGCACCATAATAATTATAATAATAGAGCAATTCCCTTGTGTTTAGTTAATAATTTTACACAACACTATGAGAGCATAATTGGGCCTAGAGGTTCGCACAGGTGTCTCAGAGCGGGAAACAATTGGTAAATATTTGACACTGGGTCAGAAATAAATTCTTATTATTTCAAATTAGATCATGTGACCACTTAAATTTCAACTTATATTGGTTTTCGCCAAAAAATGAGAAAAAGAAAATTTATATGAAAAAAAGAACAAAAAAACATACGGATCTTACCTAATTAATAGAAAATAATTCTTGAGAGGTCTTCGTTCTTCAGGATGTAGCTGTCTAAAAAGTTATGATTGAATAAATTTACTTTGTGGGAGAAAATTCTATATGTTTTCAAGAAAATTAGGATGTCAATCTAGGATTATGTTTAGCATTTTTGCTAGCCTATTCTTGTTGAACTTGTTTGCGGCCCTTTTCTAACAATTTCAACTCAAACTGAATAAACTGAATTTAAAATTGCCAGTTTCTAACTAATAATTTCAATCAGTTGTGCCCCGCGGAGATGCTTTTCTACTTGTTGTTCCGGTTTAAGTATTTGCGCTCGATGGGGTTTTTATTCTCCAGACAAATTTTGATTTTTAAATTTTGCGTCACTTTTCTGCCGGGCAGCTAGTAATGCTCAAAGTTAGGGCTCTTTTTCCTCCTCTGTAAGTTTTTACTCATGATATTTTGTTCCTATTATCCAGTTGTTACAAAAGTTGAAAAACACATACTATAGAAAAAGCATGTGGGGTAAGGAAGGTTGTCAGATGGAAAACGTTTATTTATTTTTCCCCCACGGGCAAGAGCTACTTTTGCTGTTATGAGAAGTATTACAATGTTAAGTATGACGACAAATATGTTTCTTATGACGTAATTGCCTATTGATCCAGTTGCCTATTGATCCATTTGTCGGAATTTGGGCTAACTTCATCCTAAAAAAATCCAATCCTATTTTTTCAAATTCAGAGAGAATTAAGGCCATGCATTGCTTTATTTTTTTTCAAAAACTGAAGTTATTTTGAATAACAAATCGCTATTTTTAATATGTTTTGTGGAGTTCATTTTCTTTTTTTTCAACTGTTTGTTGGCAATGTTAATAATTTGTTTGACAATATTTTGTAGATCATGTTTTTCTCAAAATTTGCTGGGTTGAATAAAAATTTTGCTTATTAAACCTGCTCAGTAATTTTGGTAGTAGTTTTTCCGATTTTCCAAAAAATGACGGTTTTTTATCCAGACAAACTTTAACTTGACAAATTTAGCGGAATTTTTTTTAGCAACTAAGAAATGTTAATTTCTTGAGCTCAAACTTACAAAATTGTTCACCTATAATTTTTTCCCTGAAATTTTGAGGGTTTTTAAATAGCCAATTCGGCTTATTTGGGACGATCTATCGAGCGTTAGCCTTATACTGATCCGGCTCAGAATTTTTTCCAAATTGATTTGAGACAGGCTCATTTTTCTAACTTTTATTACATTTTACTAAAAGCAAAAATATCACTTAAGATTTTATATGATGGCATGTGGGGGTTTGATTTTCAAAAAATCTCAAACAAAACCTGAAATTCTTTTTTTATTATTGTCTTCAAATTTATTAGATTAAAAACTAATTCATAGACATTATAGTGCAGAAGCAACTTTCAGCATTCCGATCTGATACGAGCAGTCTTGTTAGTATAGTTTTTGGTCAGCCAATAGAAGCCACAAATTGCTTAACAGATTTTGGGTCTTAATTACGACTAATAAGTTGCACCATTATAATAATAAATTTAATTTAAATTGCTTTCAGGCAATTCTTTTGTGGGTAGTTAACAATTTGACTCAACACTTTTCACTGCCTATGAGAGCACAATAGGACCTACAGAACCGCTCAGAGGAGTCTCAGAGCAGAAAATCATATAGTAAATTAGCTTTCTATTTTTTCTTTTCCGCACGGGCTAGAGCTAGTTTTGGCGTTATGAGAAGTATTACAAAGTTATGTATGGCGACAAGTATGTTTCTTATGACCTAATTAGTCTGCATGTCAATTTTCAAAAAAATCAGACAAGGTTTAGAAAAATTTTGTTTCTAAAAAGTTCACATGCGGTGAAGAGCCACATTTTTGTCTCTTTTTTTGGGTTGTTTTGTCAATTTGTTTCAAACAATGTTTTTCATCGACGTTCAACGGTAGAATATTGAGGGCTTAGCCCTGATACGAGCACTCTTCTTCTCATCTAATGTCTACTTCTTGAGTTCTACTTGTGCCTTTGTTATAGTATTTTGTTAGTCTAAGCAAAGTTTTCGGCTATCCGAGGAGCTTTATTTGGCTACCAGAGTATGTTTCAATAACAGCAGCGTTATTGAATAAAATTTCTTTATACGCAATTGGTCTGTTTTTTTAATTCAAAACAAGCTGGCAAAATTGAACTGAGCTCGTATCATATAAAAACTCTACATCGTATTTATTGTTTATTCTAAGTAACTGCAATTTTTGTGGCTGTCAAGATTGTCCTCAAACTTTTCCTCACATTTTTTTGTTTTTATTTCGTCTTCTGCTTTGGCATCTGATTCTGTCTTATCCCTGAGATTTTCCTCATGTTCGCAGTCTTCTTTTTCGGATTCGACCGTTTTATTCTCCCTAAAACACAAACCAGATTGAAATATTTAGTTAAATAATTGTACGAGACTATCACGAGACGATATTATACAAAAAGGTCTTTTATACAAACTAACAGTTTAGATTTTCCAGCTCTTATAGTGGATATACTTCAGTTCGTGCAAAGCATGGCTAAATTTGGTTTCTTAATTGTACAAATTTCTCTCACCCCGATGTTCCATCAGCAACAAGAGACACCACTCCGCCTATGCCACTACCCGCGGCAGCACCAGCGGCAACTATTGTCCCCGACGCAGCAGCCGACAACCCAAGGGCACCGACCGACTGGCAAATAGCAAATATACTGCCGGACACAACTGCAGGGCCCTGGATGGCGGCAGCAATCGATCCAGCGGCTACTCCGGCCGCCGTGAACCCGACTGCTCCCAGTACGAATGGTGCGGCAATTACAGCGCCTAATCCAGTGGCGGCGCCAACCCCGACGCCGATTCCAATGCCAATTAACTTGTTGCGCTTGCTGTTTTTTGAGTTCTTGGCAGGGTTCTTGGAACACATTTGCAATTCTTCTGATAGAACAAACTAGCGTTGATTTGAAATCAAGAAATGTAGATGTGCCAAGAATTGAGTCGAAGAGGTCGAATGCTAAAACAAACTAAATGTTAACGTAGAGTTATTTGGTGGCGAATACTGTTCAACTCGGTGGCCAGTCAATAAGCAGAATGGTCTAAGAGCAGAATGGGTCCAAGAGCAGAAAAATAGAAAAATATCAACTTCTATAAACTAATCGGTAAAATAATTATCAGAAATGTCAATAATAGCAAAGCAACGAACATTTTATGCATAATTTGAGCAATTTAATCAATTTTAAAAAATTAATAAAAAAAACTTCAGGAAATTAGTCAATTCATGCGTAATTTATTCGTATTCTTGGTATTTTTGACGATTCTAATAACTGTTTTATCAATTAGCCTGTATAAACCAAAATAAGTCAATATTTTTCTGCTTTTCTGCTCTTGAACCTTTCTGCTTATTGCTCCGCCTCCGTTCAACTCAAACTCAAACTCAAACTCATCTGATAACTGCTAACTCAAACTGGTAACTCAAACTCATTTGTTTACGTTGCCGGACTTTATTGAACGTTGCTAGGGGTGCTACCCGGTTCGAAGTCCGCGACTTAAGAAAAGACTTTTTAAGTCCGCGCCGGAGGCGGAGCAATAAGCAGAATGGTCTAAGGGCAGAATGGGTCTAAGAGCAGAAAAATACTAAAATACACAAAAAAGTTGAATTATATGGTAAAATCTATACGCAAATAATAGAATAATGAAAATTGTCAGTAAAGTGAATAAAAAAAACATCAGTTTGAGTAAATTTTTTTTTCAAATATTTCGGCAAATTTCAGCGATTCCATTCCAATAAGTCTTCAGCGAAATATGGCCGTCCAAATAAAAGTTTTTTAGCTGAATAATTTTCGTATCCAGTTCACGAAACACTCGTTTTTTTCGGCGGAACCTCACCACGGCAAATTTCTCAAATTTCTTCTCTTGACTCCAATTCTTGAATTGTTAACTTTTTTAGGACAGTCCAAAAATTTGGTTTTTGGACTCCAATTAGATCGTTCCAGCCTCTGTTCCAGTTTTCGCACTTATTGGTCGTTCGAATATCCACAGGGCGGTCCAAAACGTTCCATAAATCCATTGAAATTGGACCCAAAATCCAAAAATTCCAAACAATCAAAAAATTTTCCAATTTTTTCGCAAGAATTGATTTTTTCTTGAGTTTCTTTTTGATAATAAGCCATCGCCATGCTTATCTCGTTAACACGTAAATATGCGAGACTGAAAAGTTTTCTGGCAATATCTTGAAATTTTTTGTCCGTTTTGTAATTGTAATCGCAACTTAGTCCAAACTCTTGAATTTTTCGGTAGATGCATTGCGAAAAATGAAACCAGCATCCAAATGTGCCGAAGCATGGAAAACTTCTCGAGTTGCTGGTATTACCCCGGTTTCATAATCGGTTACTATGGTGTCGGGGATCAAGGGAAGGCCGACTATTTCGTTGCATTTTCCGGTCAAAAATACCTTTCCAAGCATGAGCCGACCCGAAGATGGTGTAGATTTGAAGAAAGATGGGGCGGTTTTGAAAGTTCTAATACACAAAACTTTTTGGCTTCTCACCAAAAAATCAAGACCCTGTTTGGTACCATAAATCAATATACCTTGAAAATAGGCCCTGTTTGGTACTATAAATCAACATAGTAGAAAATCTTGACGATTCAGAAACATTGTCCATGATCCTTCAAGTTTAATATCTTCAAAATTTTCGGCGGCTTTGGTAAATTTTTGGTCTGTTTTTGTTGCATAGTTCGCCGAATAGTATAGTAATTTGGGGCCAAAAATCGCTGATCTGATTCTTGTAATTTTTCGACATAATTTTTTCAGCGGTACTAATAACGACATATTTTTTCGCGACATTTTCAATAATTTTCTCTCAAAAATACGTTTCCGACAATTGCTGTTCTGGCTCAAATTGATTGTGACTCGAGGGCTTGTTTTTAATTGAAATATTAATTATATTCAAGGAAAGTTTGGACGAGCAACTTGGGTTCACACATTTGTAATATTGAAAATCTTTGCTTTTTATTTTTTTTTTGAAAATAAAATTTTCACAAATTAAATTTTTGCCCCTTCGTTTTGTCTTCACAACTGAAAATTCCATCATTTATTAGAAATGACCAATTAAAATTATAATTGACCTGTTAAAATTAACACTTTAGTTTTAGTTACAAATACAGTTCTACCCTTAGACCCATTCTGCTTTTAGACCATTCTTCCTAATGACTGGCCGCATACTGTTTTCAGACTGGATTTCGCAGTCGCGCCGCGTGCTTAAGTCGCGCCGTCATTCTTTCATTAAGTCGTCGCGCTACTAGTCTTTTCTTAAGTCGCGCCGATTTAGTCTTTTTTTAAGTCGCACCGCGTAAGTCTTTTCTCAAGTCGCGTCGCGCCGTCAGTCTTTTCTTAAGTCGCGCCATCAGTCTTTTCCTAAGTCGCGCCGTCAGTCTTTTCTTAAGTCGCGCAGTCAGTATTTTCTGAAGTCGCGCCGTCAATCTTTTCTTAAGTAACGCGGTCAGTCTTTTCTTAAGTCGCGCCGCTTAAGTCTTTCCTAAAGTCGCGCCGTCAGTCTTTTTGAAGTAGCGCCGCTTAAAAAATTTTTCTTTAGTTGGGACGCTTAAGTCTTTTCTTAAGTCGCACCGTCGGTTTTTTCTTAAGTTGCGCCGTCAGTCTTTTCTGAAGTCGCGCCGTCAGGACTTTCTTAAGTCGCGCCGTCAGTCTTTTCTTAAGTCGCGCCGTCAGTCTTTTCTTAAGTCGAGCCGTCAGCCTTTTCTTAAGTCGCACCGCTTAAGTCTTTCCTTAAGTCGCGCCGTCAGTCTTTTCTTAAGTCGCACCTCTTAAGTCTTTCCTTAAGTCGCGCCGTCGGTCTTTTCTTAAGTTGCGCCGCTTAGGTCTTTTCTTAAGTGGCGCAGCTTAAGTCTTCTCTTAAGTTGCGCCGCTTAAGTCTTCTCTTAAGTTGCGCCGCTTAAGTCTTTTCTTAAGTCGCGTCGCTTTAGTCTTTTCTTAAGTCGCGTCGCTTAAGTCTTTTCTTAAGTCGCGCCGTCTTTTTTTTCTTAAGTCGCACCGCTTAAGTCTTTCCTTAAGTCGAGCCGTCAGTTTTCTCTTAAGTCGCGCCGGTTCAGTCTTTTCTTATATCTCGCCATCAGTCTTTTCTTAAGTCGCACCGCTTAAGTCATTTTCTAAGTTTTGCCGCTTAAGTCTTTTTTTAAAGACCTAAACGGAGCGACTCAAGAAAAGACTTAAGCGGCGCGAAATTAGGAAAAGTCTTAAGCGGCGCGACTTAAGACCATACTTAAGCGGCGCGACAAAAGAAAAGACTTAAACGTCGCGACTTAAGAAAAAATTTAAGCGGCGCGACTTAAGAAAAGACTGACGGCTTGACTTAAGAAAAGGCTTAAGTGGCGCGACTTACGAAATAATTTAAGCGGCGCGACTTAAGAAAAGACTGACGACTTGACGTAAGAAAAACCTCAGCGCGACTTAAGAAAAGACTTAAGCGGCGCGACTTAAGAAAAGACCTTAAAGGTGCGACTTAAAAAAAGACTGACGGCGCGACTTAAGAAAAGTTTTAAGCGGCGCGACTTACGATAAGACCGACGGCATGACTTAATAAAAAACTTACGCGGCGCGACTTAAGAAGAGATCTTAAAGGCGCGACTTAAGAAAAGACTGAAGCAGCGCGGCTTAAGAAAATACTTTTGTTTTTTGCTCAGTCGCGGCGGTTTATTCTCTGTCGCGCCGGTCTGAAATTGTCACATTTTCAAGTTGTCACTGACCGCCCCCGAATGGGAACAAATTTCAAGGGTTTCGTGATGAAAGAAGTAATTTATTGCTTCATTTAATTCGCTTTAATTGAATGGCAATTGCTTCTTTTTAAAAATTGACTCCGCTCATTTTGTTTTCGGTCCTTTGCCTACAAGTTTTTTTTGCCCATTTGGTCCTTTGCGCATAAGAATAGACCCCAACAAAACTATCAAAAACACAACAGTAAGTTAGCGGCAAAACAAAAATTTACGCGCACAAAAACTTTTCTAGAAAGGCCGAGATTCTTAGGCAAACTTTGTATAACTTGATCACAGGTCCAGAAGACTCCAGTGGATGTAGTTGTGTGACAGATGAACTATTTCTGTCAATCTTTGTTGTGATTACGTAATTAAAGATACAAACTATGCAACGTTTTTTTTTGTAAAGTTTTCGGTAAAAATTAAATATCGTATCAATTTGCTCGACTTTTAGTAAACAGGATTTTTCTAAGTTAACGTATAACCTCAGGTTTAAATAATCATATCAGCTCATTTTTTTGTGTTTTTGCTTAGCCCCAATTTTTTTCAAAATTGATGTAACAATTTTTACTATCTGAAAACTGTAAATCAAAAATTAGGATGTTTAGAAATTTCCCACTTTCTGCCTTTTTTTACAAAATGTTTATAATTTTTATCAAATAATTGTTGATTTATAGCAAAAGTCTTAAATATTTCTAGATACGATCTAAAAATTTTTTCTTAAACCAAATGTAGAAAACTAAAATAAAATTTTGCTGCGGGTTATGCATTAGAAGATTCAATTTTTTTTAATATAAATTATGTTCATCTAAGATAAGATTCTTTGAGGTTTGTTATACTGTAGTTTTGGGAGGAAAGCTTGAGAGATGCTGTATATGGGGCTTAGAAAATGGGTCTAGGACAACAAGCCGACGGGACTTCAAGGCGAAGGGACTTCAGGCCGAAAATTAAACTTTACAAGCACCTCGAATCAATATTTTTTCATCTTACAACGTTGCTTTTCAAAATCTTACGCTAGTTTAGTCCATAATAAGCGTTATTTATGACAATGAATCACTTAGGATTGACATCCGTTAATAATATCAGCCGGTTTTTGAAATGCATAAATTATAAACAAGAAATTTGCCTTTAGCCGTGTTTTATTTTTCAACTTTCCTGAACATCATTTGGAGGTTTAAATTTTATGAAAACGCTAATAAATACCGACTAAGGATCATGAAAATCAGAAAATCTTCAGAAAAGTGTTCAAATTAATCTTATTTCATGACTTAATGAGAAAATTTTCGGCTTGAAGTCCCTAATTTTACGATTCGGCTTGAAGTCCCGTCGGCTTGATGTCCGGCACCCTTAGAAAATTTCTACAGATGCGGTCAATCTAATTTTTCCAAATACAGACCAGACCGCACTCCGACAAATGAAAAATTAATAAACAGTAAGTAAATTTAACATGAAAGTATCTCGAAACATATTCTCAGCTTATTAACGCTATTTTTCAGAGATCGCACTATTTCACGTTTTTATATTCGAAAAGTTTTTTTGTTGAATTAGAAATTTTTTTAACGGATTCTCAAATAATTGAAAACTGTCGAATTAATGTCTACTGGCTATGGCAATACGAACGATATAATGACCTTTAAAGTAAGAAGTATAATGGATTGCAATAGATTAAAATGGATTATTTTCAAGCAAAAGTTAGAAGCTAACAAAAGTAGAAAAAAAATTGATTATATTGGATGAAAAATGGATTTTGTTGCCTCAAAAAATAGGAGCATTTTAATTCATTGTTAAATGAATATAATCGATCATTTTTCTCTTTTGTAGACACTGACAACGAAATACAATCAATTTTTTTTTCATGAAACTCCAATGCGGGTAGGTCTTAATGTAGCATATGCAGAACTGCAATAACTAACTATCTTTGATTTTTAGCGAGATTGAGTGTGTTTCAGTATTATCTATGAAACTCTAGGGCGGGTGGATTTTTCAAAAACCACTGAAATGTTCCAAAAGCACTTTTTCAAGTGAAGCTTTGTTTGAGAACCTGGAATTCTTACATTAATGAAAGTGATAGTGCTGATGAATTAGGAACAAAAACTGGTAAAAAACGTATCGGCAAAGTTTTGCATGATTGTCAGGTTCCCATGCGCAAAATCCATCTCTACACGATCCTGCAGGTGTCCTTAGCTGCTTTTATCTTTGGGTCCAAACTGGTGCCCTACTGGCAGGTGGCCTTCCCTGTCCTCCTGATACTCTGTGTGCCAATCAGGATGTACCTGCTGCCCAAGTTCTACACTGAAGAAGAACTGGAAGCGGTAGGAGAAATTAAATTTGGAAACAAATGAATAGAGAAAATATCTTATAGTTGTCGGCAAACTTTTTGTTGTTTACGTAGCAAAAAGTAGACAACAAATGTCCAAATAAATAGTTATTTTTAATTCTTGCTTGAGTTTGTTTTTCTATCTCCATTCTGATTGGTCAATACTTGTATTTGACTTCTTTTTGACCGGTATGAAAAAAATTACTACTTTTTGACTGCGCTCCCTTTATCTTATCCTAATAACAAATGTTTTTCTTTTGGTTTTTACCAGTCTTTAATTTTGCCCGCAAAAGTTAGTTTTTAAGCATCAATATCCGTTGTGTTCCGTTTTCTGAATGACAAGTGACCATTTTAGGCTTCGGTATTCAGAATAGCTTCTATAATATAAAACTAAAGAGTATATACAAATCCTGGCGATTGGAAAGAAAGAGAATCAGCATGATTTCCCTATTAAAATCATTGAATCATTTTTTAAAGTTAAATTTCAGGAGGACTCTGATTTTTGGACTAGCATTCGAAAATTTGAATTTAAAAACTTTGTTATCAGACGAGGACCTCGAAATATTTATCGGCTCAAAAAAATCAAAAGGCCCTGCGTTGCCAAATAAGTTTTTGAAAAGTCGAAATATTTCGCAAAAACGCTTTGAAAAAATTGCGTATTGTCAAAAAGACGAACTCAAGTTTTTAGCTTTAAAAAACTCTTTAGCAAATCAAATTTCCATTTTTGTGCACAGGGCACTATTGTTTGAATAAGGGTTTTTGAAAACGATAAAAACTGAAACGTACATTAAGGAAGGCAACCTTTGTAAAATGATTTGTGCAGTTCTCCCGGCAACTAAAGGTAATTTTATTGTTGGTACTACTATGATAGAGTGGTCCCCCGAAAAAGCAACTATGATAGACAGGTCCCGCATGCATTTCGCATGTTACAATTTTGAAAACTAGTTTGCTTATAAATTATGGTGAATGCCCGGGGCTAGGTCTTTTACCAGACCTATCTTTTACCAGACCACAATGTAATAATTCAATTAAGATAAATTTTAAGTTAGTGGAAGATTCAAAAAGGAAGCGGTTAGAACAAACAAAACTTAGCCGAGAAAACCGTGAAATCATTGTCTTTAACCAGACTAAACGGCGTCAATACATCTGTCAATCAAATTTGTTTATCGAGTCTGGTAAAAGGTCCATGTTATAACTTTTCTGGTAAAAGATCGGTCCCCTGAATTCCCATAGGTTCCAATAATCACAGGTTCCAAAATAAAAAATCAGTCGCATAAGTTCCAAAGATTTTCTTGAATTCTGATCGGTTGAAATTTGAGCCAACGAATTTATGCATAAACTCAAGCTGCAGAATAGTGACCGCCGCAGCCGCACCAACGTGTTGCGAGCTTGCCACCAAAGGGTAGGACTATACGAAATTTAGAGCCGGTTATCGCCGCAAAGCGGCGACGCGCGCGTAGCGCGCCCACCGGCGACCTTATACCGAGACTCGGATTATTTAGTCTTTTGATCAATTGAAAAGATTTGGAACTTATGCGATTGCTTTTTTATTTTGGAACCTATGGGACTGATTGTTTATTTTGGAACCTATGAATACGCACCATAAGTTATTCAATTCAAAAATCTGGCGAAAGATGTTGAATCAGAAACCTTTCAGATTAAAAATTGTGATTACTATAATTTTTATATCAAGAAGTATGCTCCTCTATTTTAGGGAAAAATCTAGGAAAATGTTGCAATTTTGATTATCAAATTGATGTGAAAATTAGGATCATAGCGGTAATTGCAATTAATGGGGTCTCTCAATCAAACCATATTTTCAACAAAACATTTTTTTATTGTTCTGCAATTTTAGGATGATTTATAACAGACCAGACTCGGCTTATTTAGTCTTTTGATCAATTGAAAAGAATTGGAACTTATGCGATTGCTTTTTTATTTTGGAACCTATGGGACTGATTGTTTATTTTGGAACCTATGAATACGCACCATAAATTATTCAATTCAAAAATCTGGCGAAAGATGTTGAGTCAGAAACCTTTCAGATTAAAAATTGTGATTACTATAATTTTTATATCAAGAAGTGTGCTCCTCTATTTTAGGGAAAAATCTAGGAAAATGTCGCAATTTTGATTATCAAATTGATGTGAAAACTAGGAACATAGCGGGAATTGCAATAAATGGGCTCTCTCAATCAAAACATATTTTCAACAAAACATTTTTTTATTGTTCTGCAATTTTAGGATGATTTATAACAGACCAGACTCGGCTAATTTAGTCTTTTGATCAATTGAAAAGATTTGAAACTTATGCGATTGCTTTTTGGAACCTATGGGACTGATTGTTTATTTTGGAACCTATGAATATGCACCATAAATTATTCAATTCAAAAATCTGGCGAAAGATGTTGAGTCAGAAACCTTTCACAGGGCACTATTGTTTTGGCGATTGAAAAGAAAGAGTTTCTACACGTTGCAGCGTGTTTCTACACGTTGCAGCGTGTTTCCGTGTTTTCATAGTCTGCCTGAAGGGCAATAACGTAGTTCCATTAGTTTGTCCAGCCCTTACCTTTTTTCTGCAAGACAGTTTTCACACATGTACATGTCCATTATTTCTCTAATGCTCCAGATGTAAAACAACTTTCGCACATTTGTTTGCGAAATGAATTAATAGTGTAGTATTGCAAATACTACACGGATATAAAAGTGTATTGTTCTATTTGAAGTATATTCAACATTTTTCCACAGACTATTTTGTCGGATATCAAACAAAAAGTTTGTCGCCATAAAAGCTGACCGGTTAAAATGTTCTATTTTGAAAAGTAGACATTAAAGCACTAAGCACCCGGTCTTTGGAGCCATAGAAAGACCCAAGAAAATAAAACAAGTGCAAATCAGAGACGGAATGAATAACGGCTTCTTAATATTAAAAACTTCAAAGATGAGACTACTGAAAACATTCCAAACACCTGGAGGATGAAAAATATCCGATGAAACAAAGTCTATGAAGATTAAAATTAGACAAAGGTACTTTGAAGCCTTCTTGCATTAAGATTGGACCTGTCTAAAATCTTCATAATTTTTTATTCCACTCTCATTTGAACTCGCTCAGTCGAGTTAACGTGTTCCGGAATAATTTTATTTCTTTCTTTTGTTTGTTTTTATTTTATAAACTTAATAAGATACGATCTTAGAACTTTTATAAGTTCCCGAAAAAAATGCAGCAGCCCGGATCTAAACAAATTGATGACCCAATACTCTGAGAAGCATAAGGTGGACAAATCAATCAGCAATCTAGACGCGGACGAGAGGCAAACGCAGTGTTAGTTTAAATGTAAAAACTAGGTTTTGACCCCCATCCTCATTGGTACTAAAGACAGTTGTTCATTAATTGGTTAAATCATTTGTACTCAACTATCCACTAGATAAATTCATACTCTTTTTTAACTAAATTTTTGAACTATAACTTTTGTCAAGAAACGACGAATTAAGGTGAGACTTATAACTTAGGATAGATTACTAAGCAATCAATCAGCAAAGATAGCTTAATAAAACTGGTGCAAACGCAGCAGAGAACTACTCCTTAAGAAATTCCTTTTCCAACAAACTCGAAACTTCTTTTAAAGTTCAAAAAAATAATACTAGGATCTGTGAGTATTTTTCAGATTAGTTTTCAACCTCAAAAAGTCAGAGACAATGGGTGTCTTCCAATAAATACACAATTTCATTGTCTTCTACTTGCCAGATATTCCTAGTAGGGCTCTTGCAATAGGCATCCCCCTACGCTAAAAGTCGCCCACGATATTCCTCCATTTCGAGGTCTATTATACGAAAACGAAGAATGAAGGAACGGATTTGGGTGTTTTTCACTAAATCATTGGTTTTTTTGTGACAGTTTGAATGTACTCCTAATAAACATTAAAATTACGCACTAAAATCAATCTTAAACGTTAATCACATAACACCAAACACCAAATTTTAATTTCACAAAAATATTAGGTTTCACAACAAAAACTAAAGCTAGAACACTGACACATCCACTTTATATTGATGAACTAGTTTTCATATAACCTAAGCACTAGAAAATTGATTTTGACCAGCCAAAATGTTTGGTTTCAGACCCAAAAATCTTGCTTCCTAAGTCAAAATTTTGGGGAATATAGAAAGATAATGGAATCCTTGATGCACTAAACAACTCAAAAACTTCTAGAAGGTGTTAGTTTGAGCCCTCGAACTTATAGTTTCAGACAACAAAAAACGTCGTTTTACCCTAAAATTCTCATCTTTTTGGCACTTTTATTGCTGGAATAGAAATATATTAAGAGTTAGCAGCTTAGAATTTGAAACCCAAAATTCTAAAACCAAGTGATCAAACTATAGTTTCAATTCTAGAAATCATAGTTTCAGCCCCAAAAACTTAGGTTTCGGCAAACAAATTTTTTGATTTTGAAGTAACAAAACTGTTCATAATTCTAATTTACACTAGACCAGCTATCAAAAACCAACTTTTCACTTTCATGCATCGAGTTTGAGAGAGTTTAAGGGTTTTAGGTTTGAGATTTCAAAAACTAAGTTTAAGATATCAAAAAATTCGTTTTTCTCAAAATTTTTTTGCAGAATAATGCATAAACCAGGTATCCTAAAGCTTTTAGACAACCGTAAGGAAAAAAAACTCAATATCAGTTACCATAGTTTCAAGTTTCAGATTATAGTATCAGTCAAAAAAAATTTGTAAAAATTTTAACAAAAAAAAATGAAGTTTTGAGCCAGTAATAACCTCAAAAGGCATATAATTATATTGTGATTCATAACTAAGGCATCAATAAAACTTCACATAAACAAAGTTTCAGGTTTCAGCTAAGGTTTCAGCGAACAAAAAACTCGAAAAAAATTTTAGATGCTACAAACCATTTAATTTAAGAAAAAAGAAAAAAACACCGTAAAAAATTAATGTCAACACATTTTAAAATTGAAGTCAGCACAATAAATTTAAAAC